TGCTGCATTGTGGAAGATTCTGGTGTAAATGTTAACTCGCCTGTTTTCTGCATGCATATGTAGATTTTCTGTATGCACTTTGGCTACCTCAAAAAAACTCCCAAAGTATGCATGTCAGGTTAATGGGTTGCTCTTAATGTCGCCTTGTTAGCACACTTTTAGAAAATGCGGTTGAATTTCAACTTGTTTGTAAACTCTTCCAGCAAACTGCTTAACATTAATGACCATTTTAATTTTATCATTTAAATTTGTCTCAAACTTAACAATTTTATGGTTATACAAACTTCTCTTCACAAAACAAGTAAAATTTTTTAATGAATCTAATGATGTTAAAAAAATATCTGTAGAATTAATGAATAACAAAATAGAACCTGTATTTAAATTGCCTAACTCTATATTTATATTCCTAATTCATATTTAGTCTTCTCATTCATTGTTATATAAAAAATTTTTTTTATAAAAATATTTTTTTTATATTTAAGATTAGTAAGTAATTGTAGATTTAAATGTAACATACTGTATAAGACATATGTAGTTTTGTATGCTAATTAACTAAATTGATTAATTAGATGTTATTTTCTCCAGTAGATGGCAGAAAAGCACTTTATAGGTTTTTTTTTATGTGTTGAATCTGCATAAACAGGCTTTTTTGGGAAACCCATACACTTGAGGTGGGGTGTAATTAGGCGACTTTGAAACAACAGTTTATAACGGGTTAAAATTTGCAAGATCAGATCCATCAATAAAGAAAAAAACGGTTAAGATGACTTTAGAATCAGCAATATTACTAAAGTGATGGTATCATTATATAGCTTAAAGGTATTGTGGAGGATTTTCTAAGAAAAAAAAAAAAATGCACGTGCACGACCCTGTACCCGCTCCTGAGAGGGAACAGGTCTTAAACTCGTGCGAAAGGATGCACAAGCCCATTTCTCCTTGTGCACGCTCTGTTTAAAAGTTATTGTTCTCATAGCTCATACAAGCTTACTGTGTCCAAATGTCCGCTCTAACCCCTAAATCCCTCAATCACTATATAGAGCGGGGACTATAGACTGGACTTTATAGTGAAGTCTTTAACTGACCGTTTGGACAGATGATCATTGCTTTTTGCTCCCAGTTGGTCAGGTAACTCCTCCTCCCCTGTGCAGTGCCTGTGCCATCTCTATTAGTCGCCTCTTTTGGTTAGTGGCAGCAAATCCCATAATGCTTTGTGTGGAGAGTCGTCAAAAGCATTCTGGGATATTTCTGCCTCTCTGAGGTCTTTCTTTTCTTGTCATATACTTCATAGACACTTTTTCTCTTACGATCCTCGGCCATTGTCTGAAACTCTAGCTCACCACAGATATATGCCTGAAAGTGCACATGCACAGAAAAAGGTAGCCAACAGGATGAGCACGTAGGATGGCCTTACATAAACATATCACCAGAATGATTGACAATTAGGAGGACCACTTATTTTGATGATCCACCCAGAAATAAAAGATCAACCTCTATACCTTTAAATGGTAATACAGATTAAATGTATTCTAACATTGTGCCATAAAACATTTATCTCTCATAACCACAGCTTAAAATGTGCAATTTTATGACGGTAAATGACCAAACAACTCCCCTATTTGCAACTATGACGCTAGCATTGTGACCCAACATTTTTTTTTTTTTACTTTAAAAGGTGAAGGTGATTATTCTACACCCAGATAAGCTCTACTTTGGCTTTTATTCTTGGACCCCATTGTGACTAAAGTATAGCTGGTTGGGTTGTGGCAAAACCATTCATTTCGCTTACACCCTAATCACTGCTTAAATTTCTCAGTTTTGTGTTAATGCTACATTGACATTGGTGGCAGTAAATGACCGGTACATAATCTCTATTAACATTTATGATACTAGCATTAGTGCCTTTGCTAATCTTGTAAAATCCATCTACAAAACTTGATTCAACATGAAAACAATGTCTACCATGAGTCTTTAGACAGTTATTAAGTTTATATTTCCATTAATAATGCAACCGTAAAAATGTAATGCCTGATATGAAAATTCATACAAGATGTCAGCAACACCCTATTTAATCGATATATACACTAAATTAATAAAAAAATGATTACTGTTAATGACATTCACAATACAGAGAAGGAGATTCCTGGAGCTTCAGGGTGAAAATCACACCTGAGCAACACTTTCGATTAGTTTCTCTATACAGAAGATGTCTTGTAAGTTTCAATACCAAGCAAGGCTTTCCTCCAGGGTATGTTATAAATTACAAAAAAAAATGTTTAACACGTATTACCATTCCAATTTATTTTGCATCATTTATAGACTTATTTGTATCAATTCCCTGTTGTGTGTGTGTGTGTGTGTGTGTGTGGATCCCTTGCATTGTTACTGACTGAGTAACTTTCCTGTCAATAGGCTAATTTCACTTGTTTTAATCATTAAAAACAACGTTGTCTTAAATACATGCTTTGATTATTTTAAGCCTTATTCTCTGCTGAAAATCAATAGAATTGAACCATTATTGTACATTCAGTGCTTTATTAAATGTGAATAATTATAACAGTTATTATTTAATTCCCCTGGAAATAAGTTCAGTTGTACATTTTAATGGGAGCTTGCATGCTTGGTTTTTCCGCCCTTCAACTCTAAATGCCTCCCATCTACAGAAGATTTTTGATAACAAGCCAACAAAGCTTTTTAGGCAGGCTTTTTTTAAGGCAGATGCTTTTCTGCTCTCACTTCTTCTCTTCTACTCCCTATCTCACGCTGCTACCCTCCACACCCCCACATCCTTTTACCCTGTCTGTACCCTCACCAGCCTCCTGCCCTCTCTCTGAATGTTTGTTAGTGCAGTCAAATGCCACTAACCTTTCAGCTTCTCCTTACCATCTTCAAATAGCTTACTTGTTTCTGCATTCTTTCCTTTTGCCTTGCTTTTTCTCATCCATTTTTTAGACGACTGGCTTTTGCTCTGTGCTTTTCTTAACACCACTCTCTGTTATGCCTTTTCCTTTACTCTCTTGTTTTCTCCTGAATCTCTTTCTGTCAGTACAACTCCCCACAGATGAATGCACTATACCTGATGCTTTTAAATAACAGCAAAAATGACTATAATTTCTCCTGTTTTTTTTTTTTTTATGTCGTCCAAACAGGCATGACGCAGGTATTTTTATATTCCTCCTTGGTTACTTGTTGCTGTTCCATTAAATTGGAGACACACTAAACAGTTTGTTTGTTTTTTTTTTACAGATTTTGAAAAGACTAGGTAAAATCTTGTGGCACAAAAAACATCCTAAAATGTTGATACCCCAATATTTAATAATTATGCTTTGTAAGCTTTGGCATGAGGATATTGCATTAATGAAATTGCAAAGGAGGCGATTTGATCCATCCAAGGCATTTATTAGTGAACATCTAGCATCTTTATAACAATTTATGATTAAATTTAATCTTCCAATTTCACTTTTTTACAGCTGTGACATTACCAAATTATTTTCCACCATTCAGTCGTGGACAGCTTTATGTCTGTCGAACCATAAACTAGATTAAAGAGGTCGTCCCCAACCTTTACTCCGTTCTACAAAATATGCAAGATTCTTCATCTAATACTTTTAGAGAGAACTGGTGATAACGTTTGGCAGAAGTTCATTTAGATTTATTTACAATGCAGTTTCATGAATGCTAAACATAATTGGGTTTAGGTTATAGATAACCCAGAAAGTGTATTATGTAATATTTTGGTAAAGAAAACTCTACTGTATGTGGTATATACAGCAAAACCACATGTTATTCTGTCATTTTAATATGTTTAAACTATAAAGCTAATAAATAGAAGAAAAAAAGTACAAATGGTGGCTGTACGAAGATATTTTCAGAACAGTTTGGTGGATTTCATTAAGGATCTTCATTATTTATGAGTACTGTGAACTGAAGAATTTGGTGATAAAATACGATTTATCTCGATATATCGCGATACCTTAACATAGTGATTGGAAAACCTTGCAAGATCTCATTGTAGCTCTGCTGTGGCTTAGGCTCTTGGGGGGGGTGCACTGCCGTATGGAGGCTTTTATTCTGCTTTTATTTTTATTCTATTTTCATGTTAAGCAATTTGAAGTGTCCTTTTACTGAATTGTGCTATACAAATAAACTTGCTTGCTTTGCTTTGCCTTAACAGTTACATAAAAGTAGGACTGTGAAATTTATGTATTTTAATCAATACTATCCATCCATTTTCTGTCACATTTGATCCCCTCTGGGGTCGCAAGGGGTGCTGGTGCCTATCTCGAACTGTCTACGGGCGAGAGGTGGGGTACACCGTGGACAGGTCGCCAGTCCATTACAGGGGAACACACAACCATTCACACACACACACACTCATACCTAAGGACAGTTTAGAGAAACCAATTAACCTAACAATCATCTTTTTGGACTGTGGGAGGAAGCCGGAGTACCCAGAGAGTACCCCCGAATGCACAGGGAGAACATGCAAACTCCATGCAGAAATACCCCGGGCCGGGAATCGAACCCAAAACCTTCTTGCTGCAAGGCAATCATCTAGCATAACATCCCTTTATGGGGATTTTGAATCAATACAAATGTCATCTAATGAAACATCGTCATATTTGACATAATCAACTTTCTTTTTAGACCCCTATTATTTCCTGAATTTTAGGCTTTATTACCTCTATGTTGTAGTTTTACCACAGGGCTTAATCTTAGAACCATTTAGCCTTTTATTAACGGTCCAGCTGCAGTCTACCATAGATAACATATTGATTATATGCAGATGATGCTGTTGTAGTTATGCAAGCCAGAAACAATTCAATTCATCTGTAGAAGCTTGTTGTTGTTGTTGTTGTTCCTTAGTCTTATTAAGAGGATTAAAAACAGAAGCAAAAAGAAAACCAAAGCTGCAAAACAAATGGTTTAAAATGTTTCATAAATATTTATCTGTCTGTATGTTAATCCTGTTCTGCTCCTCTTTTCATACTCTCCCTTCCCAGACTGGCAGGTTGCCACGCTAGCCCTGTTGCTTGGAGGCGGAGCCTTGGTCTTGATGTCATTTCTAGTGGCTTTGGTTGCCGTGTGCATCGGTACAAGACGGCGGTTTTACGCTCCTGTTGCCTTCATGCTTTTTGGAGCAGGTCAGTTTGCACTTGAATTCTCACACAGACAATGCTTGAGTCCTGGATTAAAGGGGACACACCAAACAGTACCTTGCTTTTTTTTTTTTTTTTTAGATTTTAGTGTATTTTATTAGGATTTTATGTGATAAAAGTAGTGCACAACTGTGAGTTGGAACAACAATTTGAAAAACAGGCATCTTTTTCATTCCATTGCCCCCTTTGAGTTCTGATGTCAGTTAAATTCCCAATGGAATACATTGAAGGCTCAGTTTGTAATGTGAAAGATATCAAGGAGGCTTTTCTTTTTATTTGATTTGTCTAAGCTGAATTCTGTCATGGTTGACCCTGCCACAGCATAACAAACAGGTCTTCAATTACCTTTCAGTAGATTGACGTAGGACCTATAATAGGAGCTATTATAAGATGGAAGTTTGGTATACACACATCCAAACACACACTACCTATTTACTTAATTTACATGATAATCCTTACTTCCTCATTTAACTCAAGTCACACACCTGCAGTCCCCAAGTCACAGTTTTCTGCTCTTAAGAGAATAAATCCTTTTTTTTTTATGTTGAAGTGTGAAATGTGGTGTCACGCCTTTCTCTTTAACTTTCCCAGCATCCCCTCATTTTGAGTCCGACAACAACCAAGCTTCTCGCTTTGGATAATAAGCGGGAAATGTCATTATTTTTCCATCTGTGAGGTGATTTATTTTGAATAGCAGAATGTGTTTCTTAACTATACCCACTGAACCTCAGCATCCCTTCCCTAAAGGAAACCTGACATGAAAGGTTGCCACAAAAAACAATTAAAACATCTATAAAGATGAATTTAAATCTAAAATCCTCATTGTTCTTAACCTTTATTAATCTATTACAACAGTTACTAACCATCTATATAATACTCTTTTTCGTTCTTCACTATAATCAACTGTGAAATGTTGTATTAAAATGTTTTTAACCACCTCCCATACCTTTATAAAGTCATGGGGCCAGGCCATACGTCTTTGTAATAGCTGTAATTTTATTACTGTACCTGTTATTTCTTAAGATTTTCCACAGCAGGATGTCTTTCAATAATTGGTGTAAGCTGCCACCGCTTAACATAAAGCTTTAGCAATATAAAGCTTTTCATTTTTGCAATTTGGGAACAACACGTTGCCTTGGTTACCAACATAATACTAAAACTAAGCTCAGTTTTAAAGGCCATCTGCAGTTTCCACTCCAAATGAGGGTTAGACATAATGCACAAGGTTAGCAGCGGTGAAAAGAATCAAATTGTTACCAATGTGCAGCATCTATTGGAAATAACATTTTAGCCTTCTTCAAATGTATCTAGCAAATACCGCTTTTGTTATTACAATAGCCTTGTTGGAGATGCTCTAAAGGTCTGCAGTGTTATTTGGCAATAAACTGTCATTGCAAAATTCTTTAGCTCTGAATGTTGGAGGTTTGGATCGATCTAGACCTTATTTGTTTTATAAATATATCAGATAAGAAAAGTTTAAAGTTTGCATTGGTGGATAAAAAAGCAAATGATAAGCGTTGTACTTTGTACATGACAAAAACTAATAATTTCCTTTTTCTTATTGTGCTTATTGGTGATATCCACATAAAATAATCAATGCTGAGTGGAAACGGGGAAAATTAAATATAGTTTACCAAACATTTGCAAGATGGGAGGACATCTTTAGAGCAACTGTTAGAAAAAAGATGCTCTGAAGATTAAGTTTAATGTATTATTCATTAGACACTCTAGAGGGTTATTTCTCTTGTTGCATAGGTTTTAATGTTAACCCTCCAGGCCTAATTTAGCCTCTATTACAGGCTGCTAAGAGCATGAAGTGTTTTCCAGTGATGCAAAAACTTCAGTTTCTACATGTATGCTTTATCTCTTACATGTAGAACAGGATACCACTGGCTTTCTTTTAAGGGACTACAGTGACTTTCCACTACTGTTCTTCTTGGAAATCGAAACCTTAAAGAAACAGCTCAGCTTTTTACTTTTATTATCAAGGTAAAATTAATCAGTTCTTACAAAAGCATAAAAAATTCTGCTTTTTTCTTGCGAACAATGTGTCCATTCAGAATAAAAAGAAAACAGAGATAGACATGGAATTTTAAATATGTATTACAAAAAACTAAAAGCACCCTTGATAAGTCACTGAAACTTTTCCACTCTAGTATCCTTTTTGAGATTCAGTGATGCCAAATAACTTGAATCTGTCGAAGGTAATAATAAGTGGAGCTTCTATGAAAATGAAAGTTAAGAATTTTGTTCCATGCTTCAACAGAATGATTTAAAAATAGTCTCATAAAACAACAGGCCTGGACAAATATGATGGTGGCCAGAGAAAAGACTGAAAACAATGTACCCAAAGGGACTTGTCAAATTTCCCTTTGTTCAATCAAGATGTGTCGTCTAATTTGCATCACAATTGTCTAAAATCAGTCAGTGGACCTACATATTATGGCCATATGTAGTCACTGTGCTGTTTGATCCTATGGTGTGTACCACACTCAACATGGACCAGAGGAAGAGAAGGAAAGAGTAAACGTAAAGAGAGAAAAATAGAGAAGCACGGTAAAGATATCAAACAGTCTCAGAAATGTAAGATTCTTGAGACTGTTTGAAACCTCCCTAGACGTGGTCACAGGAGGAAAATTAATGACAAATAAAATTGATGAATAATAGGAATGGGTGAAAAAAAAGAGTCCAGACAAACTTGTAAAGAGGTTAAACCTGAACTTTAAGCTCAAGCAACATCACTGTCAGATCGCACTAGTGTTGTTGGAGCCAATGTGGACTTGATGGGAGATGACCTAGGAGGTCAACTACTGTTGAAAACAAATCAGAAAAAAGTTTGGAATTTTCCAAGCTTTGCGTTGAGAAGCCACAAAGCTGAAAGTCCTGCAGCTCCTTGTTCACAGATAGAAACATGATGCACATCAAAAGTGGAACACTGTCCCTACTGTGAAACACGGAGTAGAGTTTATTATGTTCAGAGGCTGCTTTGCTTCATCTGGCACAGGTTGTTTCCAATCTCTGCAGGGTACAATGAAATCTAAAGACTATGGGGTATTTCTTGAGAGGAATGTGCTGCCCAGTGTCAGAAAGCTCGGTCACAGACACAGATCATGGGTTTCCAACAGGATAATCACCCAAAACACAGCTAAAGAAACCAAAGCATGGCTAAGAGGAAAACGCTAGACTATTCTGGCTTTCTGTAAGCCCTGACCTAAATCCTATTAGGCATTTTTGGAAGGAGGTTCAGTTTTGGACCAGGATACCTGCTGAGAGGAGCAAAATTCTAATTGGCATTCTATTTTGTTTTTTAATCATTCTGTTACTGCCTGATCAACCAAATGTTTTAACCATTTGCTCAGCAAAATGCAGGCTGGAGGTGGACAGGGGAGTTAAAGGCTTCAAGTACAGTTGAAAATCAATGTCTGACTTTGATTTTTTCATTTTAATAGTTTTTTTTTAATATTACCTTTGTCAGATTCAAGTTATTTCTGTGACCATTGTTGGTTTTTCATTCATTTCTTTCACAAGGGGTACCAGCAATTTTGTCTATGTGTAATTGTTAGATTCATGAAAGTCCTAAAGGAGAATGTCCAGCCATTGGTTTGTTGGGTTAACTAACAGGACATAGACTTAAGAACGTCTGTAAACTTCATGGAGAAGTCTAGTGACGGCTTTCAAAGGAGGGGATAATGAAATACAAATATTTTAAGTAACTTTCTGGCCCAAACAGCAAATGATCATATGAGAGTATCAATGCATTTAGTTATCTAGATGTTGTGAAGATGTCTAGCTGCAGTTTGAACTGTCCATCATAATAAAGAAGACAGAAAACCTTAGTGACTTTGAAAATAGCATGGCAGTTAGTGCCAGACTAGCAGATACATGTGTTAGTAATTCAGAAACTTCTAAGCTAATGGGATTTGTCACAGCCATGCGTCTTCTGGTTTTACATAAAATGATTCTAAAAAAGGGAAAATATCCATTGGGGGGAGTGCAGTAGATAGAAATACTTGGTGTTGTTAGAGGTCAGAGGAGAATATACATACTTTGTAAGAGAATAAAATAGCAACAGTATTCCATTTAATTATTCCATATACAACAGTATTCCATATACCTTTGCTGTAAACCAAGATTTACAAAAAGTGGAATAAAGATTACAGAGGCTCATCAAACTGGCCAGTCCAATGAGTCTTGGTCCCTTTACACTCATCCCACCATCACCAGTCTGAATGGTGTGGACATTTTCTTGGCATCTTGCAGCACGTCGGAAATCCACCACTACACCGTATAACTTTTAGCCCCGCAGTGCCAAATAACAAATGATTTGATTCCATTTTTCATGACAACTTCTCACTCACTGTAGTTAGGTTTCTTTTGCTGACGCTGTCACTTGCCAAACTGCAACCTGAGAGCTGCAGCTACAGAAACTCCAGGGAGCCAAAAATGTGGCGTTATTTTAAAAAAAAATTATCGATTGCATTTTTTGCCCATAACCAATCATCTGAATTAATTAATTTAACCACTTTTTTTTGTCCATGTCTTCACAAGAGGTTGTGCATTTTAATCCCTTTAAGTCAGAACTGTTTCAGATCGCTAATCCAGTGAGGCGTTAGCTAACTAAAATTTTGTTCTTCGCACCAGACTATACTAGAACAAATGCTATTTATAGAAATCCCAAACAACATATTTAATGTTTTGCTTAGGTTGATGCTGTAGATGAGCACTTACATTGTGTCGGAACTTTGAAATTACACCTCATATTTACCATTTCCATCTCCTCTAGTTGTCCTCCAGGCCTGCAGTTTGGTCCTCTTCCCCATCAAGTTCATCGAAAGCATCAACCTGAGGATCTATCACGAGTTCAACTGGGGCTATGGACTAGCCTGGGGAGGGACCATCTTTTCCTTTGGTGGGGGAATCCTCTACTGCCTGAACCCCAAGAGTTATGAGGACTACTACTGATTCTAATTAAAACTGCAGACTTCACAGCTACATGGTGGCAAAGACGTACACATGGGAGGCGAATTCCCTGGAAGTGTTGGAAATAGTGAGCATCAGATTCCAGCGGCCAAATATATTATCTGAATCTTTGACCTTTGGAAACAAAACAAATGGTCAAGAGATTACTCTTCATGCCTTCGTCAAAAGAATTGTGTTTGTTGTTGATGTGGATTCATAGCTGGACCATCTTAGAAGATCCTCATCCTGGTAGGGATTGGGGCTGGTTTATAGATGGCTTACTGCAAAGACTTGCCATACAACCTTTAGAAATACACCGATGATAATTCTGACAACTCTGTCTCCATTCTTGGCTTCAAAACCCACCTTTTTGACTTAATTTGAAAATTCATGCATGCAGATACTTAATTGCTTGACTGGATCTCTTAAAATCTCTTCACTCCCATCTCCAGCGTCATCATCTAATCAACAGCTTTGTACCGTTTTTTTTTTTTTTTTCAGAATCCTTTGGCGTCCCTGAACTTCTGTAAAGACGTAGAAATTGATCATATCCTTATAACTTCTCAACAGACAGACTCTTCCTGGAGGAAGGTGAGGGCAGAAATAAAATAAAGTAAGACACCCACTCAATATTCCGTTATCGACCCACTTGTCTGTTACCCTGGCAACCTACTGGGAGTGCACATGCAGCTGTCATGATTGATTACCCACGGTCGGGGGTTGTAAGACAGTACGGCCCCTTGAGGCCTTCAAGCGTCTTTGATTGCCCATCGAACAGAGTTTCTCCAACCACCTGTCAGCCGGTGTACCGCTTCCCCTCCGGTAATTCTCATTGTGAAAAGGGAATGTTGCCATTACTCACAATATTTCGGCCCGTCAGTGGTCAGGTTTATATGCATAACAGCTGTGTGATAAAGAAGGAATGTTCTGAATAGATTCATGTAATTTTGCACTCATCTGATGGAGATTCCTGGGGGCATTCATACCTTGTCTCGAGTTCTGATTGTGTTGGGTGGTTAAAGGATGGTTTGGCTCAGAAACAAAAACAATTTTTTACTATTTCAGAGAGAAAGTTGCCCCAGTCCCTTCTAAATTTGCAGATGCTAACCAATAATTTACTCGTATGTGCCTTTCTCCAGTTCATCATGACATCAGGCTGTAAGTTCCAATATTCAAGACTAGTGCATACAGGTAGACCAGGTAAAGCAAAAGTTAAAAATCCCATATATTTAAACTCACAATTTGAGTCCTTTTTGTTACCACAAGAAAAAATCTGCCAAACATGTAAAGAAATGTAATACCTGGAATAGGAAGTTGATTTCAGTCCTCATGGCTTGCAAAAGTGCCCCTTGAAGTTTCCATATCTTTCAATGTTACGACCTCAAACTTTGTATTTTATTAGGTTTGCAACAGAAGAACACAAGCACTTATTGTTAAAAAGAGGGAAAATAACTGCATGGTAAAAATCATTCAAGTATGCCTAATGCTGTGGTCATATCAAATGCGTTTTGAGTGTCAAAAAGGTTACCTTATCTTGGATACTTGTGCACATTGATGTCAGGGGCACATGGGCACACAGTGTGTTCGATTGATCTGATGTACCTTTCCAGCCTGTTATGTACAATGGCAAATGCAATGTAGAGAGTTTTATTACTTTTTGTGTATTGGCTGTAATAAGTGGGGGAAAAAGGTTTTAGGAATTTTTGTAAGCAAGAAAGTACACCTCAAAACGTCGCCCATGCAGTCAGTTCACCAGGATAATCATCCTATATTCCATAGTAGTTTTGAGTGGCACAGGACCTCATGCAGGTGGGTTGTATCATTGGAAATCTCCCTTGATTGCTCCCTTAAGCTGGCCAATCACTCTTGGAATTCCAGCTGTCTTTTGCTCGGCTTGAATTGAATATAACATTTTTTTAGTATGAGATTCAAAAATGCAAGTACCAGAATAAAAAAAAAATCAAACATTCTTTGCTGGAAAGTTTTAAAATGTTAATTTAATGCGGGTATGAATTATGAACTGTTCTGCCACGGTTCAGTAGGACAATATTTTGTTATTCAGTTTTTTACGCCCAAAGCTCTGCAGGAAAGTTCATAGCTGTGTTCAGATTTTCCAACTCCAGTGTCTGATGTTTGGGCTCACTTTATGTATGTTAAAGTTGAAAGCTCACAATTCATCACCCCAGAAACCCTCAAAACACAATGCATGAGACAGTCAAAACTATTCACAATACTTCTTGACTCTTCTTGACATACTGTATGTCTGCTGTAGACTTTGCATGGAAACAGGACGCCCCTGATGCTCAAACGCGTTTGGTCTGAATACAGAATCGTATTTAAATGAATTTGTTGTGATACACTCAAATTAAATCAACTTTAGCTAATTCTTCAGAAGTCCATTAACAGTAGTTGGACTCCACTTGTGTATAATTTAATCTTAGTATGAATGTAGCCTTTATGTGAAGGTTGTAGAGGTTTGTTAAAGAACATTAGCAAGCAAACTTAATCATTAGCAACAAAGCAAAGAACTTAACCACCACTATGGAACATGGTGAAAAAAAACATGTTTTGATTGATTAAAAGATTTAATTTAAATCCAGCTTAATCTTGCAGAAAAACTCGATGAAGAAGTAGATTAGTTTGGTACCAATAGAAAACCCTGACATATGCCCCATTTACACTCCCTCTCTGAAAACCGATCCCTGCCGAGTTCGGACCAAGTTAACCGCGCCGAGCTTGGTTCTTACGACCATTCACACATCACGCTAGCCCGGTTCCACTCTTCCAATCCGCGGTCCAAAATACTGCAGTTCTCAAGACGGGAATCCCGCAAACAAAAATGGCCACGCCCATAACATTCAGGAACTTATCTATCTGGACAGCGTCCCCTGCCCAAATTTCAATAAGAGATGCCATTTATTGTTAATAGGCTGAGAAGAAGTTCACACCGGAAAACCCGCAACATGAGTCAGCTGTTTGTAAATAGGAGATGAAGCGGTCTGCTCATTCGCTCTTTGTTAGAGAACCGGCCACAACTGCAACGCGCTCAAACTGTTGAACTAGTGCTAGATTTAGCGTGGTTCAGTTGTGTCTGGCATGGTCCAGTTCCGTTGCATTTCATTTACACTCAACAGTTATTTAGGACCGTTCTCGGCACGGTTTGAAAAGGGTAGGGTAAATGGGGCTATTGACGCTAGCTTAAGTGTAGTTAGCAGCTAAAGGTTAGCCAGTCAGTACCTCCTTCAGAGCAAACACTTGTTCCTCACTTTTTCATGGTCTTGGTTCTGTTGTGCTTTACTTTGCTCCTTGTTTTCTAGTTGTATTGGTTTAATTCCTGTTTTGTAGTAGTTTCTAGATTTATGTTCTCAGGTTTTTCTGTTGTTGTCCTGTTGCCCTCTTGTGTGTGTTCCTTTCTCCTTGGCTCCCTCGTCTCCTCTCACACCTGCTCCTTATCTGTTTGTTAGCCCTGCCTATATATACACTCCCTCTGCCGTCACTTCTTGTTGGTTCCTTGTCGTTGCCGGCTTTTCATGCTGTTGTCTTCCTATCTCGTCTCTCCCTGACTCCTCATGTTCAGTTTCCCCTGATGTCTCCATGGTTCTGGTTTGGCTTTACATTTTTAGTTGGATTTTTGGATTCCTGCCTTTGTTACTGTTTTCATCATTAAACTGCAAGAAATCTCCTCTGCATTTGGGTCCTCAAACCGCAACCAAACCGTGACACACTGTATGTGCTTCTTTTTGTTACCACGTATCCAAAATGCTTTCCAGCAAACAATTTTTATTTGATGTATGCTAATTGTTAGCACAACAGAAAAAAACTACCTTTATTTCTTCAAAATAAGATTTTTCAATGTGAATACAGCATTGTCTAAAGCTTAAACAGCACACCAAGATAGCCAAATATAGAGATGTAACCTTGGTAACATCTTGGATAGATTATTGTGATGATAGTTTTAAAGTAACAAAATCACAACATCTTTAATTAAATTAGCTGTAAATGCTGTCATATTCTATACTGTTGATATGATGATGAGACACGCTGAGGATCTCTTGCTTTGTAGAACATATGTGAACGGAAAAAGGAAATGGTCTACTGCTGTGTGTGTCCATGTATTTAAACGTGGCTACTGACGCAGGCTATTCATAGTTTGTTGAAACTGATAAATTCAGACAATTTTTTTCCAGGAAGAAACTGTTCTCCTCTTGTTAACTGTAAATGCCAAGAATCTGTACAGTGCTCAATATCAGCTGTTTCTGGCTGAAGACATTTTGAGATGTATTTAGTTGTGCAGAGGTAGAAAATGTCACAACTAATTGAATCAAAGGTATGTATTGGTAAAATGTAAGTCTGGTATTTTACTTCAAGGCTCCATCTCATTATAGAAAAGATCATCTGACAATGTTGGATTTATTTCTGTTCCCCGGTCTGCTGATCTTGTTCTGACATTTTTATTCAGGTGGTTTGATATAGCTTTCTTTTTTAATCATGTATGGGTATTTCTTGACTGTATACCACCTTCTTACCAAGTCCCTCTCCAGATTTTCTCTGATTTATTTGTGCCCAGCTCCTAATGTCCAAAGGTGTTTCCTACTTTACAGATTAGAGGAAATTCTGTTTTTATAAGGTTGTTTTTGTTCAGGAAAAAAAATGACATTCAGTCTGGCCTATGTGGAAAATGTGTTCATTCACACCTGATTGCTGTTAGGAATGAGAGAGAAAAAGAAAATCCAAAAAGTAGAACCTGTCTGACAACATGAAGTAGGTCAAGAGTGTTCAAAATATACATATACTCCTAATTTAGCCTAGTTAAAGTCAGGTTTAAATGCTTTGGTGTGAAATTAAGCAGAGCCTTAAAAATCATCCTATGATGTCGAATTTGATGAATTTTGCAAAGAAAAGTTAGCTTAAAAAAATCCTCAGAGACGTAAAAGACTAATAAAAATATTCGATAACAAAGCAAATCCATAGGAAGGCTTTTGGTGTTCAGTTTTTCAGCTACTGGCCAAAGGTGCCAATGGTTTTTAGTTGATTATATTTACTTTAATGGTGAAATTGCACTACAATGTAATTTAGCATCCATAAATTTTATTGTCCGTGCTGTTTTTTAAAGTGACTACATTTTTTTAATACCCCATGTGATTTATTTTCATCTTCTCTATCCAAGATTACTTTCCTTTCTTTGGTACGCATTTCTCCACTCAATGCTCCAGGTGTGTTGGGGTTTGAATGCAAAGCAGCTCTCCTGCATATAATTGGAGATTCAGGCGGCGTCTTTTATTCGCTGTCCTTTTCATTGTCATATATTTACTGTGGAGCTGTCAAGTAACCATCATCCAGAAATAGAATCCAGGCCGACTCCCCAGCCACCTCAACAAATAAAGGACTTGGAAGACGGCCATGCGCTTCAAGGAACCGACAGAAGTCCATTTATTTAATGACAACAAGGATAGAATCTCCTGCATATGGAGATCATACAGTGAAACATTTGAATATTGTGGAAAAAACACTCATTTCATTTTGGTACAGCTTGGGCCATGTGTTCACAAAAAATGTTATTTTGCAAAACTGAGAAGCCCTTGTTTGGACTTCATATTACCATGCGCTCTCAGTTCTTATTTAAAAAAAGCACATTATATTTTTTGTCTTTGCGCACAAACTATACTTTTTAAAATGATTTCTCATCTAGCTTTGGAAAGCTTTACATCTTTAAGTGTTATTTTATCAAAAATGTATTGTAGGTGGTAATAATATTAACAGTAACTGTAAAGGAATAAAAAAAAAAAGACCTGAGTGTGGCCGCAGCAATGACAGGCTAAAGATTCACGCATTACATTGAAAAGAAACTTTCTCACCGTTGTTTTGAATCGTTGCATTAAAAATCATTTTATTCAAGATAGAACCTATAAAAATATAAAGTCATAATAGATCTACCAGACCTGAAAGTCTTCATATTATAAGAATAAATTTGTAAAATTATTAGATTATAGTCATAACATTTAGAGAATAAAACTGTAACATTACAGAGATAATTATTATATTGAGATAAAGTTGAATTATTATGAAAATTTCATAGTATAATGTTAAAAAAAGAATAAAATCCTATAAGAAAGACCAGTCGCCCTCTTCAGCTTAGGGTGAGCTGATCACATCATATTTTAATGACTCAATTAAAACTTTTTTCTCTTTAAAACAACTATAATATTTTCCCTCATAAGTTTTACTCTCCTTTATTATATCTAGTAATTTTACTTAATTTTTATAATATCATAGATTCGTTTTCATGATAATGTGACTTTATTCCAGGAATAAAAAACTTTGTAGTATGGCTTAAATTTTGGCTAATAAGGTAGATGCACTGTTTTTGTATCTACCTTTGTAGATAATCAAATGTTTCCATAAAAACATTCTTCAAATAAAAAAATTAGTTACTTGGTATGAAAAAATAGAGTATTAATAAAATATGAACTTTTCCAAACACCTAATTTACTTCAGTTACCTTCCATAAAATGTATAAATTAGTCACTACTTGATCGTCTGAATCTAATTAACACGAGCCATAAACATTTATCTGGAATTACTTTAGTAATTCCAGATAAATGTATATAACATTGATTAACTAAATTAATGATGCATTGACTCTTATGCAGGTATCTTGCAGTGCAGGTACACATCAGTGGATGCTTTACATCCATGAAACTGTAACTTCCAACATTTACCAAAGTATATATTTGGCTGGTTATTCAGAGATTTAAAAACGACCACATAGAGGCAAATGTTTTTCCACACATACAGTAGTATAATATTAAAGCTTTTTAATTTTTTTAGCCACCACCACTGCTGCACTACCAGTTTCTGTTGATGTTCAGATGGAAATGGACAAGCTATAAGTTGTTTTTTGAGAGTTTTTATTTACACTGTGTTTTATTTACAGCCAAATACTAAGTAAACACTGCAGACAAGCTGAACCAAATGCAGTTGGTGTTAAGAATCTTTAGCCTACCTTGTTAGTCCTTATTTTGGATCCTTTCAAATTATTCCAATCTGCTGGAATAGCCTTGATCTTACACTGTGTTTCTGAAATCTTACAGCTGCAGGTTTTTGGTTCGATCTTTCCATAAAAAAATAAAATAAAAACTCACTTTTATTTTACCCTCTGTTTTTTCGTTGATTAAAAATGTTCAAACCTAATGTATTTATTTTCATTTCAGCTTGGAATTCACTTCTGATTGTGCCATTAAAGCTTAATAAGGGTGTTTTAGCTAACTGTGGATGTCTTTGTGGAGTAGGTTCTAACATGCAAACAGACTCTGGGTTAAAATATGCATCTGTCTTAGTGATGCTTTTGTTAAAACCAACATGTGGCTTCTCCGTATTTTTGTGCAGAAAAGGTGGGAGAGGATATGTTGATCCCTATGAAAACTGTATATAGTCTACTTAAACATAAACAAAGTACTCTTTAAAAAATAATCACTGATTTCCTGATTTATTTTCTATGTACACCACTTTGCTGAAGTATCCATATTTCCTTGAGCATTTCCACATTTTGATTTATCAATATAATCTTTAATTTTTTTTCAATTGGGGTCATCTGTATTTAGAGTTTCCATGTCATTAACATCCTAACCTTGCAGCTTTGCTAATCAAAACATTTAGATATTTTTATATTTTTGATTCTTCTTTTAAAAAAAAAAAGAAAATGATCAAACTCAGTTTATTTGTAGAAAGTCTGACTGGGCCATTTCAATTGTTCCAGCTGAAATGTAAATTCAGCACGGTTTCCCTCTAGGATTGTCCTGAATTTAGCAGAAGAAAAAACATCCCACGGCATGATGCTGTCACCACCTTGTTTAAGCTTGCATATTGTATGTTCAGGATGATGTACCAGGAGTTAGATTTCATGTTTGGGATATAAAAAAAAAAAGAAAAGAGCTTTACTATTGTTTTTTTATGCAATCAAAAGATTCAACTCTACTTTATGTTGATCTATCATAGGGAAATCTGTTAAAGCCCACTGAAACTGCTGCCTGTAATGTTAGAAAATGTGGAAAAAATTCAAGCAGAATAAAAATGTATAATGTTAACCTTGCTTTTAAACATCTTTCAAATTAAATTTCAAACGAACTGTTTTAAGTTTGATTTTCTTTGAAATCCCTAACTTGAAGCCACATTGGTTGTTACAAGCGTCTCATTTGAAAAATGAAAATACTTTTTGTTTCTTAAAACAGAACAGGT